CGGTCAATATTCTTCTACCATAATTATTGATGAAGTGTGTAGGTCAAGCGCGATATCAAATAACTTCAATTCTTCATAGTCGTTTCTTAACTGGATTCTAATAGCATATTGAGCGAAAAACGTAAGCTACACCCTCTACTAAGATGTTGTAGTTTCTGATTCCAAGGAGTCCTGATTGCAGCCATCTGCCTTTTTTTTTTACTCCGTGAACTATTCATTGATCAATTTCGCAATCGGTTACAAAGACGACGCAAGCTGGACTTTACCGTACACCTCACCATGAGCAGCTGCGAGGGTGAGTTCAAATTTAGAAATTTTGCTTTCTTCTACCAACGTGTTTTCCTATCATACTACTCATTTTTAGAGGAAAAGATTACCAAATACTCAGCTGAATAATAATTGAAATGAATTTTTAATTCCAATCTCGGCGTTTATTACGCTGACATGTTCATAGACTTTGAAAATTTGATTTTATTTGGAGGTCTAAATTCTTTTTTAAATTTTCGCGTCCTCGGATATAAGGGGAACTTAGCCAACTAAGAAATACAAAAAATGCAGTACAGAAAGGCTACTATTTCACATCTTGCATAGCGAGTACTAGATACTTGAAAGTCAAATAGTTTTCGAAATAGAAGACAATGCGTGGTGGTTTCTGATGGCACTCTCTGAATAATAGCCTTTAAAATCAGTCCACAAGATGCAAATATGGAAGCCGCAAATTTGAAGGTCAAATTTCTAACTGCGAGCGGAATCTTAAGAGCAGCAATGGCAGGCGATAGGAGAGAAGGAGACGTTATTAGTGCCTTTGCGACTCGGCGACCATTAGCGTCAGGACAAGCTAGATCAAACATATCAGTGCGCAGCCTTATCATCTATTAACGCCTCTATTGATGCTCATGCGAGAACATCAAAGCAGGAACAAAACCGCTCGTTGAAAATGAAGTTTGATTTTGGAGTGTTCCACCATTTCAACACGATGTCTCTCTTGACTGTCACAAGCCATTTGACCACAGCAATGAACTTTTAAGCCATTCACAAAATCCTTTGATTCTGAGTTGTGCTTTGCGTTTACCTTCAAAATTACAAACGAGAGCGGATATTCTGCAGAGATCAAGTTTCATCTTCAACCTGCTTTTGACAACTACTGGAATGGTCTTGAAGCACGAGATTTTGATAAGGTCTGCACTAAAATTTTAATTATTTTAGTTCAAAAACTTTTTTTTCATCAGCTGAGGTTTTCATGAAATTGAAACAAATTTATCCATTAACAAATTTGAAAGGGTTACATCCAAAGCACTTCTATAGGTTGTTGCATGCTACCTTCCAGATGCGGTTTTCGTGAAAGTTGGGAAATTTGGCTGTTACGGGAAAGAAGGTATGGCAGCAATTTCTTTCCCAAATTTTTCCGTTCCAACTGAGTACCTGACTTGCAGCCATAAAGCAAGCCTATCTGCAATTCGACGAGCGCATGGGAAAGACGAAAACTAAGGTGCTTTCATATTTTTTAGATAAAGTCAAAAGTTCTGCTAAAGATGTTTCATTGACGCAAACTTTTATCAGCTGTAATCAAGAGTTTTAAGAATGTGTTCGTTTCGCATTCTCATAATCTTTACTGTGAAAGTGATCAAATTTTCCTGTAAAAATTTGCAGTTTTAGTTAGTCATCAGACTTTTAGGCAAGAGGAAGCTTATTTATAGATAG